CATTGTTCTAAGTGCTTTCTAAGTAGCATTCACACTCCAATAGATGCATTGGAGAGCAATTTGGGGTTAATATCTTGCCCAAGAATATTTGGCATGCAGACTAGGGGAAGCCAGGAATCGAACCACCAACCTTTCGATCAGTAGATAACCTGCTCTACCGCCTGAGCTACAGCCATACTTTACACAGTAGCCAGACTTTTTTGGAACCAGGGTTGGGGAGTCACATGCTCATGCGCTTTCACTAGCTCATGAGCTACTCGAAGGATCTAGTTAGCACCTGTTAGCTAAAGCAACAGCAGCTAAAGTAATCCTTTTACTCTAAATAAACACTATACACAGGGAATAACATCTTGCGTTTGGAGCCTTACAGACCTGCATATGATACCTACTTACCATGCAGTCTTTTTAAAGTTTAGCATGAGTTCTCTGGATGACTAATCATGCTACTTTTTCTTTACTTTCACCTGGTAGGCTGATTTGGAAAGAGTTAACTGGCAGAGCGCGGATGAAAAACATTGATGAAAATTGTTAAAACAAAACATCACATAATTAAAAGTGGTGTTATTCAATAAATATACATATCCAATAAAGATCAATTATAATAAAAAATAGCTGAAATTCAATAATAGCGAGTTTTTCTTGTATTTTGATATAATTTATGAATTTGGGTTTCAGTTGGGCGCAATCTTCAAATGAACACTGTAGTCCAAACTGTTTAATTTAAAAAAATAAATCATGAACACTGTAGATGGCATATTCAAATCTGTGTGTATATAAAGTTCAACATTAATGAGTTAAAAGCAACAATTTATTGGAGGTAAATTAAAAAAGTAAACAATGCCAATGAAATAATTAACAAAGAAACCAGAAATATTAAACAAGACAACTGAAAACAATGGCCACACATTACAGGATTTCAAAAGGAAACATAACATGAAGTAATATCAGGTAAAAGTCAATCTATAAAAACTTGTTTTAATTTGGAATTTAAAGGTCACTGGCTCTGTGGGCCTGAATCTCCTCAGCCAGATCATTCCAAAGTTAATCCATTTTATGTATCGAAAACTCTGGAGTAATATTACTTTTCCGACTGGATATATGATGATGATGCTACAATTTAAGGACAAGGGCAAAAAACACAGTGTGATCTGAATGGTATGTTCCTGGCATTATGACTATTGACAGCGATATTATATACTATTAGAATGATATTTAAATGATAGGTTTTTGGGGCACTAAGGTCCACATTGTCCTGTTTCAGTGCCTACCAGGTAGTGGTGGTGGAAGAGGATGGGTCCCGTCATGTGAAGAGGAGGGAGCTGGGTACCGTGGACTGTTTCCCTACTCCAAATTCCCACAACGAGGCTCAGGCCAAAGGGGCTCCACATTACTACACAGCTGAGCTGGCTCCCAGCAGTCTGCCGGAGGCCACGCCTTTCACAGTGGGTGATAATCACACCTACAATGGCTACTGGAACAGTCCTTTGGACCCAACCAAGAACTACCTCATCTACTTCCAGGCCACCAGCAACTTCAGAGGGGTAAGAACCATTACAATGTCTTTTTTTCTCTGCTACTCGGACACTATTTTGCAAAAAATATTCCCTCACCTATCCAAATCATTGAATCCAGGTGTTTCAATCACTTCCATGGCCACATGTAGACTCCATCTACAAATATTTGTGAAAGAATGTGTTGCTTTCAGGAGCTCTGTGAATTCCAGCATGGTACAGTGATAGCCACCTGCGCAATAAGTCATGAAATTTCCTCGCTACCAAAGATTCCAGCCTGTTCTCACTCCCAGTGCGTAACATCCCAACGATTTGTCATGTCCCACGGCATTCCTGAGAAACGCGAAAGGTGACCTTCCGCGTTTTTATGCTGCGTGCCGGGTTATGGGTGAAATCTAGTAGAATGACAGTCCCGCGGTAATACATGTTCCAGCTAGAGCAGGGCGATGTGACCAAAAATATTTTTCACAATATGCATTTGAAAATTTGCGATAGCGATATAACTGACGATATAATTGACACTAGACAAAATATTTTACAACTCCACAACTTTATTAGTGCAAAAAAAACCCATCAATGTATTTTCACTTAAACAAGTTTTTATGTGCATTAAAGTTATATAAAAATTTATCAGTGCAAATGCAAATTCCTTGCTGACAGTTTAACCAAAAGGCATTTCCAGTGGAAA